ACCTTCCGATCGGGCAGATACTCGACCAATATAACATATTCCAGCTCTTCGACCGTTGATTTGGTTGCATCGGAGTCATCGGGGACTAAAGGATCGGGGGATCCCGTAATCATCGTCTTCATAAGTCCCCAGCTCATCCGATTGGGTCGTGGCCAGTGTCGGTTACTACTATTTGGCCTCTTGGTTTGCACCTGAATTTGGTTCTTTCTATGTTGTGAGTTACGGGCACTGCCCTCATGTTGTGGATCCACGACCTTCCGAGAAGGGCGTTGTATCTCATGTCTCCTTCGATCACATAAAACTTGGCCTCTCGTATAGTTCCGGTGATATTGACCGGTAATGTTATCTCTCCCTTAGTGGTTTCACATGCCATGTTGAACCCGTTTAAAATTCGTACTGTAGGCACGAATTTGTCTAGTAGACCGAGCTGGTCCAGGACCCTCGACCGAATGATGTTGGCCGAGCTACCTGGATCAATCAACACACGTTTAATTAGAGTTCTATTTACGAGTACAAATATTACCAGTGTATCATTATGAGGTTGTATGATCTATTCCGCATCTTCGTCGCTGAAAGATAAAATTCCTTCCGATACGTAGTCTCGAGTTCGTTTCTCCCTAGTGATAGATACTTTGGTGCATTTCAACATCGGCCCTTGTGGGATATCGACTCCACCGATGATCATATCTATGACGTGTTGAGGTTCGGTATCTTTTTGTCCTGCCTGTTTGTTAGAATCCCTGTTTCTAAAGTGGTTCTTGGCTCGGTCGCTCAAGAATTCTCGAAGGTTCCCATTGTTGAATAAACGGGCTACTTCTTCTCTCAACTGTCGACAATCTTCCGTTCTGTGACCGTGATTGCCATGATATTTGCATATTTGGTTAGGGTCCCTTTGAGCTGGATCTGATTGTAAAGGTCGAGGCCACTTGGTATCATTGATGCGCCCGATAGCTGATACGATGGCGGCAGCATCGACATTGAAGTTGTATTCCGATAGCCTCGGCACTTCTTTAGGCTTGATGGACCTGTCGAAGCTGTTTTTGGTCATGAGCCCCCGATTGCTTCGACCTTGATCATTTTTTCTTTCATTTCTTACGGGGTTTCGCCCGGACCCACTGCTCCTCCGATCTCCATTATATGGTAGATATCAATCCCTGTTTGATCTTGGTTCACGATTGATGTCTCTCTTGACTCTGTCGAGGGTTCTGACGGGATAAACAGACTCCGAGGGGGGCCCAAGTTAGTCATCTTCGATTCTAATTTTTGATAGATACTGGTTATGTACATCTATCCAGGTAACGACAGGGTATCCTATCAGATTCTGCTTCAGTTGGTGTGAAGCCACCGAGCTTCGAATATTGAGTCCCTAAGTCAAAGCTTGTACAACCCAATCATCAGCGACTGGCAGCAAATCCATTCATTCCATTTGGAAACGGGGCACGAATTCTCTGAGCATCTCGTTATCCTTCTGTTTAACTTTGAAAAGGTCTGATTTCCTGGTTTCGACCTTGATGGCACCAGCATGTGCTTTCACGAAGAAGTCTGTAAGCATAGCAAATGAATCAATAGAATTAGGAGGTAAGTTGTGATACCATGTCATAGCTCCCTTTGACAAGGTTTCCCCGAATTGTTTTAGTAGAACAGACTCGATCTCGTCGTCTTCCAGGTCGTTCCCTTTGATGGCACACGTAAGAAGTTACATGCTCATTTGGATCGGTCGTCCCGTTATACTTAGGTATTTCGGGCATACGGAATTTCTTGGGGATTGGCTTTGGAGCCGCGATTGGAGGAAAAGGTTTTTGCACGAACTTCCTGGAATCCAGTCCTTTTAATATCGGAGGTGCCCCTGAGATTTGATCCACCCTGGAATTGTAGATTTCCACCTTTTTGTCGTTTGCTTCGATTTTTTTTTCCCCTGATTCTATCCGTTTCCTCCTCGAGCATCTTTATAATCTCAGGGTTAGTACCCGACTCTTGTTCATTTGACCTCACTATGACCGGTTCATTTCTGTGGGTAACTTCACGGGGCGGATCGGGTTCAACTATGCTCGGCGTCTGGCTTTGGCTCTGCAACTGAGCTATCGCCACCTGTTGAGATTGCAGCATTTGGAAGATCATCCGTAGGCTGATCCCGTCTTCTTCATTGTTTTGTGTGTTTTGAGCTGCCGATCGAGCCCCACCACGGATGCTATTTTCGGGGTCGGTAGGCAAGTTGGCGTCGATCGCCACATGTGAATTAACATCAATCGGGTCTGCGATCGTAATTCCTACGGGACAGGCGGGTGGCCCTACGTTACCAGGCGCTATGTTGTTATTCTCACCTTGATGACCGGACTCGTTGTCGATAGGCAGGGGTGCTAATTGACAGTTTGAAATTTTTAGCCTGAAATCAAAGATACTTCAAAAAATAAGTGTAAAGTAGTGTGTATTATGAAGATTTGTATCAAATAACCACTATTATCCTTAGCCCCACGGTGGGCACCAAACTGTTTACCCTAAAAATCGGATAACAATTGAATTTGTACGTGTTTTAAGGATACGTGATATAATTTGATACAGAGTGATAAATCAAATCGTTTATGGAAATAAAAGATAAAAAGGTAAATGCAAACCACGCAAGTTTGAGCAATCCTAGCCTTGTGAGATTAATCTCCCCTGAGCTGAAAATAATATTATTGATGTTGCAGTGTAATGAACTATGACGAAGATAGAAATAACAGTTTATAGCCTTTTGATATGAGTTACAATGTGTCATATGAATTATCAAGTCCCCCCTCATATATTAGGGGAGATCTACCATTTGAGATATTATTTTATTATTATATAAAAGGCAAAAGTCCTTGATTTGCTAAGCGTTGGCTCCCTTTTTGAGTCGTTCTGTGATTTCCGCCATAATGATTGGTTAATGGTGAGAATTACGGACCCCTATCGGATGAATTGGCAAAACTTTCTTCGAAACCGTTAGAAACAGGACCGTTCACGCCTTCGGCAAACTCGAGGAAAAATCTGATGGTTTTGATGGCTAACTTTGATAGTGCTTTGGGTTCGATCATAATTACCACGTACCGAACTTGGTTGGTGGTGTTAGTCATCAGATCGATCTTTTGAGCTCGACTTCACACAGATATTTCGGCCCTGGCCTAATCAAGGAGTTCGGAAGTTCGATCGAATATCGAGCTCGGTTTTACCCGTATACAATATGGTTGAGATCTCACAGAACCTTTACTTGGCCATCAATCTTTAGCAGATTCATGTTTTGGTGACGAAGATGATTTAGCTGTCCATATTGTTGGATATATGTGGCAATTGAAATGCACAAGCATTGTAAAGGTGAAGGAAGGAGAAGGTTGAAGCTCTCTCTAGTCTCACCATATACGAATCCCACGAGGAAACCCAAGATGCTGAAATAGTTTCAGTTTATAATTAAGTTTCCGTTTATAATTAAGGGCGTGTTTGGTATGAACATGGAAAATGAGTGGTTTTAACACTTACTTTCCCTTGTTTGGTTGGTGAGCGAAAAACTTTTTTCGCAAAATATTTTCTAGTGTTTATTTAGAGAGTAGAAAATATTTTTTAGGAAAATAATTTTTTATGATAGTTTCCTTACCCTCCCTTCTTTGGGTGGGATAGGGGTGGGGGATGGGTTATGGGTGGGGTTGGGGAATAGAGTGGGAAAAGTTGAAGAAAGTTTTGAAAAATGATTTCCCTTCTTTTGATAGAGAAAATATTTTCCTCCAATTGGAGGAAAATGAGTTCATGGGGAAAATGTTATTTTCCAAAACATTTAAGCCAACCAAACATGGAAAAATTGAAAACCAAACACGCCCTAATAAAAAATATTTTCCTTCTTACCAAACACGCCCTAATTCTTTGCTTATTTTATTAAACTTTATAATATATATGTCAAGTTGTTTTAATTATACAATTGCTTTTAGGAAAGGTATGCCCCTATTTTGTATTTACCAAGTATTTGTACTGACTGAACGCATACATGATACATTATAATTCGCAGGATTGTCCGCTGCTTTCTACTAATGTTACATAGATGTGTAATTCATTTTCTTTCTCCAGGTAACTGTTTATCATTCCATTATCAAGTACGGGAAGTTCAGCATAATTTTAATGAATATTCTTAGAAAATACTTATATATTAGTAATGGTACCCTGTATACAAAACAGATTTTGGTTGAAAGCAAAAGTACACCCCAACCTTCAAATCCTGGGTCCGACTCCGGAAACAAGGCAACCCTTTCTCCCATCTGTCACGATAAAAATCTCTCCAATGCAAGTGCTCTATGAAACTCGTACGGCACTTAAGAAGTTAGAAGGAAAGAAAAAAAATATGATAGTCTAATGGGGAGATCAACAATTTCAGGTAAAATACTTTCTCTATTTTGGCTTTTGTCAAACTCAGCACATTAATAAAACTTGAGGCAAGGGCTGCCACTGAGATACATTTTGGTTATAAGCCCATCGGCAATAGACAATGTAAGCAAGCAGTGAATTCAGTCATTCAATCAAACCTTGTAAAAGAATTCACAGGAGCTTATGGGCACCATTGGCAAAAGGACTACCCTTTATTTGGTACCAATCTTTATTCTTTACATGTGACTAACATCATTCCACCGACGCCATTATAGAACCTATACTTGCAGGATCAACTAAGTGGGCATTTGGACATAAGAATTGTAAAATTCCAAAATAGGGGAAAAAGTTTTTCAAGTGAAAATGGTATTTGAAATTTAGAGTTGTGTTTGGACATGAATATAATTTTGGGTTGTTTTTGAAGTTTTGTAAGTGTTTTGAGTGAAAATTTTGAAAAATAACTTTTTGAATTTTTTCAAATTTTCGAAAATTTCCAAAATACATTTTCAAGTGAAAATTAGAAATTTTATGAACTAATGTTGATTTCAAAAAAAAGTAAAATTTTTTTGGAAAAAAGGGAAAAATTTCTGATGTCTAAACGGGCTCTAAGACTTCATGCAGCTAGACTAACAAGATCAACCAGAGTGATATGAGTTTAGCCATATTCATGGACTTTACATCTATACCTTTACAAATCAGAGGAAAATGAGATTCTACTGTTCATGTGTATACCGAGTATGTACATCTGGCTAGAAGCCAACAAAAGCCATTTTCATCGATCCTAGTACTTCAGGCGTTTCTTCTTTTCAGGAGTTGCATGTACTTGTGTTTTCTTCCCGTAAGTCTTCATCTGAAAATTCTCGAATGCTTCAGAAACAGCTTCTACCTGTAAGATGTTACCAACATTACTAAAGCATATACAGTACTCGTATTATTTTTTTACTTTTAATGTGATTCTTTTCCCACTTCTAAGAGAAATGGAGGTTTGAAGTGTGCTTGAGACAGAGAAACAGGAAGAAGAAAGGAAAATAGGCGCAAAGTAAAAGGAAGGTGGGTTGTATCTCACTGACCAGTTCAGATTTCCTGGTATAAACTCTAACAATCATATCCTGGTAACATGCAGGCAACAAGTGACTGATGCGGTCATCCTTTATAGGGAATTTCTCAAAGCTATCATAATCCTGTAAACAGTAAACATTAGAGAAGCTGGATTGAGCACCCCCAAAAAAAAAAAAAAAAAAAAAAAAAAACCACCGTATAAAAGTGACATTACAACATTTGAAGGGGAATGAAATTTTGAATTGACAATCTGAGAACCAGAGATAAGAACTTCCAGAGTTAATCGATGGGGTTTATCCTGCTAAGGCACTAAGGAAGTATAATTTCTGTGCTGTACAGCCTCTTCCATTTAACTGATACACATCAGTGGTTTCAATAGTTAAGTATAGTTCAACAAAATCGCTGGAGAATCTAGTAAAATTTAATTGATAGTTGCAAAGGATATTCTACAACTAGCATGAAGAACACCATTATATTACAAGGTTAATTTCTAACTGTTGGAGCACATTGACAAAAAGCATTCACTAAAACCTGTTCATATTAACTCAAATTTCCATCCCTGTAGGTTCAGGGAAAGACGTTAAGCAAACCTGAAAGAATCTATTCGTTTATCTATTTTAGTCCCAGATTTTTGGAAACATAGAAGAAAAAGGATATTACAATACCTGGAAGAAGCTGATCCTGGACGAGAATGGAACACATGAACAGAGGAAAAGAAAAGCGGTTTAGTCATCACAAAGCATGAGATCGTCAGCAGCAAACCCAAGATTCAAAAGTACCTTTCCAATGGATTATTCCTTCCACTAGCCAAATCAATTTTAACATTAGTAACAATGACATCTTCCTCATTCAAATGAGCATCAGAATTCTGGATAAAAAGTTACTCTATGAGGGAATGTTCATTACTATCAGGTTAACAAAAGAGACCATTAGAGTTATCTGAAGGACCTGGGAACAAATTATATCTTGAGCCGTCACATTCTTGAAATGCTCCAGCTTCTCCTTGGGCACAGCAAACTCATTACAGAACTGTCAGAATATTGATGCAAAAATATTTTAGATATTTTTTCCTTGCTTTAAATAGCTTGATAGTTGATATCATTCAACTTTTTAAGAACGAGAATAACAGAAGAGCAGGAGTTACATAGATGTTAATAGAAAGATATGCCTACCACTGTCCTTGCATTTTAAGAAGAACAGGTCACAGAATAAGATCTTTAGGTCAATAATATGAAATAACTTGAAGCTATAGATGTTTTCCAACTAGAATTATGACTCCGGACTCTCTGCCTTTGTAATAGATACCTGGTATATATCCCTCCTCCGAATTCGACGAATCAGATTTCTGGATTCCTCTAGCTCTTGATCGGTAGAAGTTTCAATTGTTTTGACTATTGCATCATCTAACTGCACATTATTAATTAACCGATGGTTTAGAGTTCAGACAGGCATGGTATTTTGTGTTATATCAGTGAAAAGATTATCCAACCATCCAGTATTGAGCTGGTTCGTCTATGTACGAAGCAATTTGAAGATGGTCATTGGCTTTTATCAAGGCATCTACAACCATGAGCTCTATTGCCTAAAAATTATAAGATGAAAAAAGAAAAGAAAGCAAGCACTCGTAACGAGATTTAAGTAGTAGAAAGTGGAAACTTTTTGAAATAAGGAACCCAGTTAAGTGAAATTCTATGCACCTTCACTTTTGGATGCATATAGACCGTACGATGCAAATCAGCACGTGTGGAAAATAGCTTGTGGATTGTAAGATCTAACAAAATTCATCAAATGAAATGTAAAAACTGTTTCTATATCTGGAGATGTTATTCTTTCATGTAACATAATAGTTTCAAGAGTACTAACATTCCTTCGCGCGATAACATATTTCGTTGTCTATAACAAGCATTGTTTCCAGTAGCCTGCAAGTAATGAAAAGATAGTATTGGCTTTTCCACAGTTAGTAATGATTCGGGACAAATTCTTCTGTTCTAGAGAAAAGGACCAAATAGAATATGAAGATTCTTGCCTCTGGAACTGAAAATTGCACCCAAGACCACAAGCTCTGGTGTCACGCTCTATGTAATCAAATCTGCAAAAAGATTGATTCATGTAATGCAGCTGCAAGTGCATAATTTACGTTGCATCTGAAGAAAGCAAAAGGGGAGGGGCCAGTTACTTGTCAACATCTATTCCATTTCGCCCATTAGCAACAATGTCATACAAGAACTGCTTCTCCTTCGAGCTCTGTATAGTAAAGTCATGAAGCAAAAGATTCAGTATTGTTTTCATATCATAGCTATTTTAGCATCTTAACATATTCACTCAAATCTTCCCACCAGAATACTTACCACTGAATTACCTTCCTCAGAAGCAACTATCAGTTCCTGTGTAGAAAAGAAAAGAACTTTGTTAGGATCGGGAACCCGGGTAGTGCGGAATATAGCCAAACAACGGTATAATGACAATAACAAAGACAATTGAAGTTGATAACAACAACAATTAAAGTAGATAAAGAAGACACAAATTTAACGTGATTCGGTCAAAGTGACCTACGTCCAGAAGCGGAGAGGAGCAATTTACTATAAGAATAAGAGTACAAAAGAGAGTACAAAATTAGAGTAAACACTCTAATTAATCCCAAATACCCTAAGAGAATAACCTCACAAGATCACTCCAAAGAAAGGGTTCACACAAGTGCTTCCCAACACTTAACTCTCATACAAAACACTCTTAATAAAGGAAGAAAGGAAGAAACAAGAATTGAAGACTCAAGTCTTGTTGGTGTGTCTAAAATGAACTAATGGCCTTCCCTTTTATAGGCAAAAAAGTCTTGACCTCTTAGGTGTAAAAGAAGAGATACAACTTGTGCAAATGATGTCCAACACACAATGCAATATTTTTGGGTCCCAAAGAATATTGCCAACAAAGTCTACACTTTGCAAAGATACTTATGCTTATGTGAAATGGACTCCATTTGACAAAATAATGGTCATATTACAAGCTTTAATATCATTCAGAAAAGATTTAATACGATTCAAAGGAAAGCCAAAGATGGAGCTGGAAAGGAGATCTACCCTCGAATCCAAAATGAAGTTCCACAACAAACTGAAAATAAAGCTCTTGTAACAATGAACAACGTGAAATTTGTCAATCTTACATGATATAATTCTGAAAGCATGAGGCACAGCTCAAGAAAAAATTCTAAACTCGGAGTAAATTATGCCATGAAAAAAGACAACCTCGGGGCAACTTATCCTAGTCTGAAATTTTTTAGAGCTGAGATTGCATCTTTATGGGGAGAGAATATCTGATCTAAGAGTGCATTATATTTTAATGTAAAAACGCATCATGAGATAAAATTTTCATTTGACCTTCACTTTCTTCAGACAGTCAGAACCAATATCAATGCCATGCTCATCAACAATGTAGTCTATCATCTTCAAAGACATATCTTCGTGGGACCTGAAATTTTTTAATTCCAGTATGTAGTTAGAAGAGTTGACTAAGATAAAGACTACAAATCTAATTCAACCATGGGAGCCTGCATCAGTTTATACTTCCCAGAAAACTGTGCATGAGATAGAAAGAAGCTAAATTAGATACACAACAAATTGACTGTACATATAAAGTGACAGCTGATTTGTGACAGGTGAAGAAGTAGCATTGCCATGCAGAAGAGAATCAAAAAAGAAATAAAGGAAATTTTAAACAAGATCTGTTAAGAGGCTCTAAAGATGGGAGGAGAAATCTTTAAATGACTAATTCAGATAATCTCTAATTCACCTAAAGTTTGGAAGAGAATCAAATGAAATTATGGAAATGTTGCCAGAAAGAACATTCATCAACTGATTTTTCCACAATGAAAAAAGATTTCACAAGACCGTATGAGTCACAAATAACCATGTCAATCTATCTGCTGCTCATAGTAGTTGTCATATGTGTGAAAAGGTACATTGACAGCTTCAAACATATACAGGGGGTAGTATAAAGTTATGGTATGCTCATAGTAGTTGTCATATGTGTGAAAAGGTACATTGACAGCTTCAAACATATACAGGGGGTAGTATAAAGTTATGGTATGCTCATAGTAGTTGTCATATGTGTGAAAAGGTACATTGACAGCTTCAAACATATACAGGGGGTAGTATAAAGTTATGGTATGCTCATAGTAGTTGTCATATGTGTGAAAAGGTACATTGACAGCTTCAAACATATACAGGGGGTAGTATAAAGTTATGGTAAACCAAGAAAAGTGAAAGAGTGGTGTTGTCAGTCTTCTCATCATAGCAATAAAGAGAAAAAGAATCGCACTTGTACATAAATAAGAATACATACACACTGCTTTGAAATATACATGAGCGTTCATAAATGTCAAATTTGATCTCATAACATTCAGCTTACATTACTGATGGAATTCTTTTGAAGCCACAAATACCGCAATTTTTTTTTTGGGGGGGGGGGGG